CTGACCTGTCTTATTTGGCTCAGCAGAACTAAAATATATATCCTGCTGCTTTTACACACGCACTCACATAACGCTCAGCGATTCTCTGCGATCAACCTCTAACATGTTTAAGCTTGCTGCGGGAGATTTCACTTGTCATGTTTGCGTAGTAAGCTAACGATTGATAACACGACGTCAGAGGAATTGGTGCGCAAATTATCATCACTCACCAATTAGTGCTGTCGCTCTCTATACACAGTTCGCGCGATTGCAAAGTGAAAGCAAAAAAACAAGCGCGATTTCAATATGTCACATATTGACAGTGGCTCACCGATGCCAATGACATAATTACCCAGCTACATTTCCGAAAGAATGCAAAAGCACTGACATATATTTTTCCTTCCTATGATAGCCCAACGGGCAGGGCAGAGATAGAGTTTGGTAGCCCGACTGGCAAAATCGCTAGCCCCGGGACGTCGGGCTAGCGATTTTGCGAGCCCTGGGAAACTGAGGCTCCAATTCACACTGGCTAATCAAAGATTGGGACAAACATTGACCTGATGAGACTTGATTTCTGCTGCAACATTCAATGGTTCAGGCCGCTGCTGGTGTTTTTACTAAAGGTCCCAGAGTGTGTGCCATAGTACCAACTGAGCATCATTCAAACACCACAGTCTACATGAGTATTGCTGCTGGCTATGTCCAACTCTTTATGACCACAGTGTACCCATCTAGTACACTGCCTGGCAGGATAACACAGCGTGTCACAAAGCTCAAAACATCTCAAACTGTTTTCTTGAACACGACAATGAGTTCGCTGTGTTCAAATGAATCCAATCACCAGATCTCAAGCCAATAGAGCACCTTTAGGATGTGGTTAAACATCATGGATGTGCAGCCAACAAATCTGCAGCAACTGTGTGATGCTATAATGAAAATACAGACTAAATTCTCTGAGGAATGTTTGCAGCACCTTGTTGAAAGGAAAAGGGGCGTCCAGCCCAGTAGACACAAGGTGTACCTAACAAAGTGGAAATGCGTGTAAATATGTACAGAAGCACTAAATAATTCCCCTTAAGTCTGTTTTACCTGACTCTGCCTGCATGCGGACAGCCTTGGCTTTGGCCAGCTCCAGGGCAGTGATCCATCGCTGACGTTCCACCTCACAGCTGGCCTTGAGGTGATATGTTTGTGCCCCTCCATTGGAGATGACAAAGTTGCAGGCATCATCCACAGTGATAGTAGCTGTAGCCAAGTTGATGGTGCCCCGACACGTGTGACCCATCTCTGCCTGGGTCCTAATAATCAGAAGAGCCTCATTTGACTTTGGGAATAAAAAGTAACTAAAAAGAAAAGAGAAATATCCTTAAACTATACCAGTGTTCTACAGAAAGGTGTACCTGTAGTATGACAGCAGCCCATTGCTCAGCACAAACCACCTCCGCTGATAACCCTTGATGTAATTTGTCCACTTGAACACCCATCCTTTGTATGTGTCTCCAGGAGGGGTGGGAGTGGGGGTCTTGGCTTCTGACATCACACCCCCTAAACTTAAGCTACAGACTGGAGGGACCTTGAGGGGGAAGATGGAAAGTTTTATTATTTACATAACAAGACTGGCTGATACAGTAATTCAGTGAATCAATTAGGAGCCAGTTCCTTGAATTCTCAGGTGTGACCATTCTCGGCGTTCCCCAGGCAAGGCTTTAATTTAACTGAAATTGCTTTTGCAATGTGGGTGCACTGGGTTTGGAATAATCTGGTTGAGGACTAAGGTTGCAAAAACAGCATCTTGCTTTAAATCACATGCTTTCATCCTGTTTTTTTAGGCCCCCGTGTGAAGCCTTCTGGTTAACATGTTTGCATTTCATTCACCTTCTGATTACCTTTTTTTCCCCTAGCTCTCGATGTCATTTGTCAACCTCTGCTTTCCAAGGTGCTATATAAATACAGTCTTAGTATTGTGACTTGTTTCACCAGCACAACAATGGACAGAACACGTTTTTTTTTATAAAAAAGTTCCACAAATGTAATTCACTGAGCTCTTACAAAGTAAATTTTAACAGTTGTTATATAACCTGAATATATAAAACACCTGAATATCTCTGGATTTTAAACCAATGGTCCAAATTTAATGTTAGTTTGAACTGTGTGAAGTCAAATTCACATTTTCTGAAATTCTTAAACACCAACAATTTCACTTCTTTTCATTGACTACAACCCTACTTCCACGCTGAAAGTCTTTAATATTGATTATTAATGAGTGTCAACACTGATCTTTGAGTGTGGAATGACAGGTCAAAGGTCGGCCGAGAAATCAATACATACCGACTACTCGTGACACGTTTTACCAAAAATAATTATTATTTTCGCCTGATGAAGAGATTAAGAGGGAACTGACTTGTGAATAAAAACTTTTAGTGTTATTTTGTCTTCTTACTGATAAATAGTCCAAATATTAACAGTTTTGAGTCAGATTTGAGTCTAATTCAGTCCAATTCTCTTTTAGGGAAAATTACTGTAATTTAAGGGGCAAACAGAACAACAACAGGTTTTAACAACAGTAACTGGATAAATAAATCAGATAAATCTGAACATACTGACGAACTTGACAACAGAGGTTAGCCTACATTAGCCCCAGTTAAGATAATGACAGTGTCGGTAACAACAATTCATCGCTGATAGGAGCTTAAAGTGAATAAACTCAATCTGACACGATTGTCCCAAGTTATTTAGCTAGTGTCTGCATATTTAAAAAGCATTGCGAAGAAGAGCAAATGCTAAACATTGGCTTCATCACTAGCTAGCTTTCAAACTCGCCGATGGCTAAATGTTTACCTTGACGTGTCCAAAATGAAAGATCAGGCAACCAGCAGCCGGGTGAAGTCACTGCTAACTCTGATACCCATACGACACTGGCTAGCTGAGGAGGCTAACAGACCAACACAAGGCAGCTAATGGGGCAAACAAACAGACCGAAGACGTCGACGGCAACAATAGTGCGACTTTAAAACGAAGTGACAGCAACACGTTTTATTGCTGCCCCTCAATATTTGCGTGTATAAGGTTCATTCTACAGCTGCGTACACCCACAAATATCTATAGCTAGCTAGCTACATCTAACTAGCCTAATGTTAGCTCGCTGGTTACACCCGGTGCAGCAGTGCTGGGTCTCCGTGTGGAAACACGCAGCTATGGCTAACTACGTTTAGCATTAAGCCAAACTACCCATCTTGACACATGTAATTCATTTATAAAGCAACAGTCGCTACACTGTTCACAGTTAAGGTAACTACGGTTAATACTTTATTCCACCAACAATGACTTTACATGTTAGTGTAACGCAACTGAGAGGAAAAAATAGACATTTACCCGTGAGGCAATAAAACATTGCGATTTTTTAATAATTACAATCACTGTTTTGTAATCGCTTGACACTCGTGACATGTAGTGGTATGTAATATAGGTGACTATAAACATGGCCGAAGTTTTCCAGAAGAAGTACAAAAATGCGACTCCGGTGGGACTCGAACCCACAACCTTTGAATGTCTGCATCTATGCCTAGAAGTCCAATGCGCTATCCATTGCGCCACGGAGCCACCTGTTGCACATGTTGAACACTATGGTATTTATAGTGTCAGTAGATCGAACTTGGGGTGATATTGTCTAAGGTTTTAGATTGTGATTTCTGGGGTTGTGAGTATTGTATTATAGCGTACATTGTGTATGAATAATGTGAAACTGAACCCTTACTTCAGAATTGAAACATCCTTTCAGACAATACCAAGCAATAAACGTTCATTTTCACCCTATCGTTTTAGAGAGGGCTTTCTTTTTTCATATTTTATCATGTTTTTAGATTTTTATGCCTTCTCTGCATGTGGGGAACCGAGGGAAACGCGAAACCCTGGGATTTTTAAAAAGAAAATGATCTCTGTGCGTCAATATGGTACATCAAACACTGGATGGCGCTACAATGCTGCATTAACCTGAATAACCCTCAAAAAACCACCAGAGTCGCACAATTTCTGGTGGAATGAGAAGCCACTGGATTTTAACAAAATTTACTTTGACAAACACAAATAAAAATCTCTGTACTTTATTTGCAAATAATGACAAGATCTGTTAAATGCAATCTCTAATCCTACTAAAGTACGGCTTCACCAAAAGGTAGATTCTGTTCATCTGGACGTAGCGTTTTCAGTGGGAGAAACATTTCATCACTCATCCAAGTGACTTCTTCAGTCTCAGCTGACTGCAGGTTTCCCCAATCTTATAAACAGTGCATTTGCACAATTACTGAAACTAGCACCACTGAAGGAACAATGGGCTTGGAGGTCAGTTCCTTGATCATTAATATGCAGATTCTCATGACCATTGATCAACAACTACTGATCAAAGACCACTGATCAATGGCCATGATTACCATTCACAGATTTGGGGAATGGCTGCAATCACAGCATTGGAAGATGGCGAAAGATGCCCCCCTTCTCAATTCAGAGGTGGCTTTCCATTTTCACATAAATGGTCTCCTTGACTCCGCGCTCAAACCAGCGTTCCTCCCTGTCCAGGATGTGTACATCCTCATCATTGAAAGAGTGTCCACTGGCCTGTAGGTGTAAATAGACTGCAGAGTCCTGGTCTGACAAGGTAGCTCTTCTGTGTCGTGATATTGGCTTCGCTAGAGGTTGTTTGGTTTCCCAGATAAATAAATCATGGCAATCCTCTTGGCACTTAATACTATATTACTCTGTTTGTGTCGGGGGCCCGATCCTTGGGCAATGGGCTGGGAGGTCAGCCCATTGTTCCTTCAGTGGGCTGGTTTCAGTCATTATGCAAATGTACTGTTAATAAGATTGGGGAAACCTGCAGTCAGCTGAGACTGAAGAAGTCACTTGGATGAGTGAGGAAACATTTCTCCCACTAAAAACGTTACATCCAGATGAACAGAATCAACCTTTTGGGGATTTACTTACCTGGAAAATTGAGCGTGCATCAAGAAGATAAAATACGGCTTGTTTCAATGTAGCCATTTTAGAAACATTTCTGAAATTTTATTTTATTTTTTAGACACCATCACACCACTGAGCAAAAGTGACAAATGATATTTTTTTCAATTCAACTTTATTTATACAGTCCCAAATCACAACATCAGTTGCTTCAAGGTGCTTTACATTGTAAGGTAGAGACCCTACGATAATACAGAGAAAACCCCAACAATCAGATGAGCCGTTATCAGCAAGCACCTCCTGACAGGGGGAAGGGAAAACTCCTTTTTAACAGGAAGACACTTCTGGAAGAATCAGGCTGAGATAGCTGCAGCTCTCTGCCTGACTGGTTAGGGGTGAAAGGAGGGAGAATGGACAAGGACACGCTGTGAAGCCAGAGATTAATAATAACTAATGATTAAATTGAGAAATTGGTTTATAAACACATAATGAGTGAAAAAAGGTTAGTGAAGAAGAAACAATGCATCATGGGAAGCCCCAGGAGCCTACACCTATTGCAGTGTAACTAAGGGAGGATTCAGGGTCACCTGATCCAGCCCTAACTATATGCTTTATCACCGAGGAAAGTTCAAGACTAATCTTGAAAGCAGAGAGGGTGTCTGTCTCCAGACTAGGAGCTGGTTCCACAGAAGAGGGGCCTGAAAGCGAACACTTTACCTACCATTCTACTTTTAAATAGTCTAGGAATCGCGAGTACTGTCTTTGAGATGATAAGAGGTATGATTATTCAAGATTGTTTGGGGGCTTTTTAAAAAAATATATTATTTCAACAATTTTAGAGTGCAATGTTTACAAATTAAAGCCATATTTTCAAATCCATTTTTAAAATACTTATTAAAAAATATAAATTATTCAGTGTTTTTTTTAACTAATGGGCCCCCAGGGTTGGACATGAATTCCTTCTACAGGAACATTGGCGTAAAACTCTGATAAATATGTGGAATTTGCTGTGGCAAACCTTTGTAATTAAGAGAGCAGCTGAAAGTTTTGTGTTCGTTTGTTTGTGTAACAATTCTGACCTGGCAGTTTGCTGCTTTTGCTGCATATGATGTTGTGCAGCGACGGTTAGAAATGAGAAGAGTTCAGAGAGATTTGAATTCCTCTGATAAATGATAAAGTGGAACAGATGTTTACAGAAGAGGGAGATGGGGATTCTGTGGTGTTAAAGGAAGGGATGGCAAGTCTCACAGATGAGAGTGTGCCCCATTTGGACTCTTCTGGGGACCAAGAACATGGGGAGGAGGGTGTAGCCAACTTGGCTCGATAAGGAAGACTGCTGGACAGCATTCAAACCCATTTAAATGGCCACAATAGACTATAAATAAATAAAATTTCAAGTGTGTTCCCTTTTCAACTTATCGTCGGGTCGCCGATGCCCTTTGAAGGGAAGGGTTGTAACAAGTGTCATCTGGCAGTTTGCTGCATTTTGCCATGTGATTGGCAGAGGAACTTGTGTGTGAGGTGAAGTCAGCACTCTTCTGTGGGAAGTTCCAGAGACGATTAACTCACTCTGGTGTGAGTGGCTATGTTGTTCAGTAAGAGACTTTTGCTGTTTTGTTTGGATTATTTATTATTGTAGGTGCCTATTTTTAATGTGTGTTGTTGGATTTATTAGTGTGGCCACAAGTTTTAATGGTGGAATCAATCAAGCTCTAGATCACCTGTGTGCAGGGAAATCCATCAATATTGTTGGTATATTGGGTGGTTTTTTTAGAGCTGTGATTTTGAATGGTTTCATAAAATTGATGTTTTTATTGTGTAACATTTTAATCGATAATCTTGTTTGTGTTTTGCAGCTGTTGTTGTGTTGCTTCTGCTGTCCTTTTGTTGTTCTTTTGGTTGATTTGTAATTTTGTATTGGTTAGTCCGTCCAGCCGTAAGGGCTGTTATGAATGATTGAGAGTGAGTCTTGTAAGGACGAACTAACCTCTCTCTTTTTTGTTTTTTTCGTTTATTTGTTTGTGCCACTTCCTTTATAAACCCAGGTTGCAGGTCATGCATATCGCTGCTTCCCAGCTGTGCAGAGGTCCGAATTGTTTGCAGTGCATGCCCATAGGTAAATTGATTGCAGTATCTCTAGACTGGGTTTGCAGTGTAGCGCTATTTGCTCGCACCTTTGGTGTGATAGATCTCATGTGCAGCTGGGATGTTAGTAGAATGTGTTATAAGACCTGTCTGGGAATGAATGGGAAAATGTATATTTAATTGATGGAACAAATAAATCATGAATTTATTTCTTTGACATTTTATTCAACACCTTAGTGCTCCTTACATTTGTTTTAATTGACTTAAGACATTATACTTTAATTATACTCTAATAATCTTTTAAATATAGGACTTTGTCTTTCTGAATAATGTTCAGCTAAAAATACAAATAAAATAACATTAATAAGCCAAGAATAAGCGGAATACAATAAGTGTATTCCAGTATGTATAGTATATATGTGTATAATGGGCAATTGCAATGTAAAGGGGCGGTTAGGATACTCTATAATACAGCTAACCCCTTCGTGATATTGTGTAATCACAATGTAAGACAAAGAAACATTGCTTGATAAACCTTACTCCTAATATCAAGAAGCTTACATTAAATGAATGAATGAATAAATAAATAAATTCACATTTCCTTTAAAACTTCAAGTTCTTACTCTCTGCTTTTACTGTACATACGCCCTTACACTTTAAATTTAGAATAATGACAAAGATTTGGAAATTACGCCATATTGTATTACAATTGCACTGCATTATAAGGTGCTACCACAACATGAGACACAGCTCTGAGTAGTGAGCACAAAGACTATTTTAAAAAAAACCCTCTGCATATAACGATTTTTTAAAAAGACCGTATGTCAGCAAAATGTTTTAAAATTGTTAATTGTCATCAATATCATTTCAAATCATCTTCATCTAAATTTGAGTTCAGATATCAGTTTGGGAACACGCATAAATCCTCCGAGAAACAGTCGATTAGGTTTTGAAACCCCAAAATTGATAAATTACTCCACATTTAAAGCCCTAATTAAAAATTAAGTGCTTAAATGCTAATAGCTTCAATTGAGGTTTGCTGATAGTTTGAGCTAACAGCGTAATAGCGGTCTGTTTTCCGTTTTTAGGTCTAATACGCTCGTCCCTTGGTGTTTTTATGTATGCA